GATGTCCGATCTGTCAGCCTGCCTGAACTGGCATGCTTTAGAAAAAGAGGCTGAAACCTTTTTGCGCTCTGAAAACTCATAAAGCCTAACATGGTTTGTCCAATTTTAACATCGTTATCAAGCTTGTCTCAGCTGGTGCGTTCATGTTGTTGTTCACGATGATCCGAGACGCCGACCCTTTTATGTTCTCGTTCCGAGGCGAATGAGAGGGAGATGTGGAGGTCAGCAGACGGCCAGGGCTCAAAGCTACGACAGAGACAGGACAGAGGAGAAGACAGCGGGAGGTGCTGGTGATGTTGGGGACATGTATTTAATATTTACACAGATGTTATAAATGCAGTGGTGTCAAAATGGTGGCCCGGGGGCCATTTGTGACCCTGGGAAGGACTCAAATTTAGCATTCAAGGTCAACTGCTTGAATACTTCTTTTATTTGCACTGCAAAACACAAAATCTTACTAATATTACCTTTGGTCTAGTTAATATTTTTTACTTAACACCAATATAGTAGGGGTGATCTGTTAATTAGTTTGTGCATTAACTGATTAATAATTGGTAGAAAAAGGTTTTTACAGAATTAGGACCTGGTGAAACTAAAACTGCCACCTGAGGAGTTCCAAGTTGAACATATTTACAGACTGTTTTTTTATATTTTAAATGCTAAAAGTAAATATTTTTTGTACAGTTTTGGCTTAGTGACTGTTACTGTGTGTTGTTCTTTCATAACAATGGCCTTTTTTTAGACTTTATACTTCAGTTAACGACTATTTAAATAATCAGTTCATTACAATTAATTTGATTAATTGTTTCAGCTTTGCACAAAATATTATTATTGAGTGTTTTGTCAATTATGGAAGGAAAGCAAATCTATTACAGGAGATTTTGGAGCCATTAAACAACATACTTGTGATTTGTGACCTCAAACTTTCACCATCTAAATCTCATCAGGTCCTTGAATGTCGAGGAAAGATTTGTTGTACATTTTTTACTCAGTTTAATTTTTTATTTCCAGTAACTAGCTCCATGTTTGCGATGAACAGGGTGTGTCCTTTCTCCTCGTTCTCACATCCACCTCACAAAGACTCTGTTTCTGGCACTTTCTGCAGCATTTCAGTGCAACTTCTTTGATCCGACTCCTCTTTTGATGCCAGAAACGTCCCTGCGAGCGAAAGCACGCAGCAGCAGGAGGAGCTGATTTACATACAGTACCCCCCACTCGCCGTCACTGCATAGCCTTTGCTGCTGCTCCAGATGTGGTTGTTAAATATTAATGTGCATCTGCTCATCTTCAATGTAAGAGGTGTGGGAGGAGAAACAAAGGTGACTACTTCAGGGTCTGAGGCGAAGCTCGTTACTGTGATGGTCCAGCCCACACGATATCAGACAAAGACTTTGTTTCAGTGAAGACGTCATGCTGAAAGAGCAGCTGCAGTTTATTCACTGATTCTCTGAGCTTTTCCAGAAAGACAAAATGTTGATGATGAAGCCTTGATTGGATTAACGAAGTGTTTGTATGGTAGATAGGAATAAACTCGTCTTGTGTTGTGTTTTGTTTTAAATCCTGCATTCAAATAGAAAGCCAAAGACTGACATTAGAATATGAATAAAGGTGCATTTTGTGAAACTGCTCCTCTTTTTTTCATGGTAAATCTCTGTTTTCATTTATTTAATGGAAGTCTAATTCCAAAATGCTTTTAAACCAGCTTCAGTCCTGTTTCGTTTTCCACGATTAAGGCCAACACATTTTAAATTCATGCCAAAAACAAGATTTTGAGGGGTTTTTTTTCCCACATTTGATGGACTCTGACAGAAAAGTAAACATTTTTTCAGATAATAGGGTGTGTTTGACATTGTCACAGCTCACCTGACACTTTGAGTGGTGTTTTTGCTCTAGGCACTGGACTGGCCCTGCCAAATCATGCTGAAAACATGTCAGCACTAGGCGTGTAGGAATAAGACCTCTAGTAATGTAATGAGAGGCTTGTGGAGATCCAGTTTTACCCAGCTAAGACACAAATTCAACAAACTTCAGGATAGACGTTGTGTTGACATGAGCACATGACTCCTAAATCCCCCATCCACACCCTGAACCCACCTCCCTTCCAATAGCCAATCAGAGCCCAGCATTGCGGGTCCTGTTTACAAGTCTCACGCTACCATGGCCAAGCTGCAGACCCCCAGTAAACCCGCTGGGACGCAAAACTGGGACTGGATGACTGAGGGTTTCACAACATCTATGGAAGGGAGGAAAATAGGCTGATGCCATATGTAAACTGTCAAAATTCAAAGGAATAAATAAATTAAAGCACTGCCTTCCAGCTCTAATCAGATTATCATCTGAGTGAGACTAGTAAATCATTAGTATGTTGTTCAGCTTGTGTTTAGAGGAGACCCTGCAGAGAGCTTACAGCTGCACTGTACAACAAACAATCCATAGTCATTATAAAAAAAAAGTCTGTATTTTCCCAGCTGTGTTTGATGTGACCAACTTTTTCTCTGAATAATTTTCCTTGTCTGGTTGCTTAGACTCCACAAACTGAAACTATAATGCCACAAAGTGCTGCAAAAGTATAGCTCTGATTTAATTACGGTGATTTAAATAAAGGATCCAGCCCAAATAACGACTGGTATGAATTTCTGCACCGTCATTAAGCTCTGAGTCTGTTTACATCTTTTCAGAACCGCCCACCTGATATTTTAAGATAACAGGTGAGATAATAATAACAGAAGACATTCAAACTGAGCATCAGAACCTTTTGAACATGGCGTGGTTGTTGGAGTCAGTTGGGCTGGTCTGAATGTTTCCAAAACTGAGATTTTCACTGAGCCGTTTCTCGACTGGACTAAAAAAAGAGAACTGCCTTTGTGAAAGAATGAGACTATTGGCACCACACAGTTGGAGAAAACATTTATTTTGCTACTTGTTAAAGGAATTTAAATAAGGAATTAGAAGGATTTGGGTCTCAACTGCTTCTAAAAAAAAAGTCCAATTGTTTGGAAGTAATATGTTAAAGTTTTTTGGTGTCTGGAAAATGAGCAGTTTCAAAAACGTCCTAGCAACCCAATCGAACCTTCAGCATGTTTGGTCAGCTGGTTTTTATCACTGTATGCGCTGTACAATGGCTGCTGAAAAAGACAAGTTTTTTGTGGTTGACCTTCCATTCAGAAACCACTTGTTACACTCTAATTGATTGTGCAGGAGGCCCTACTAATGCATTTCAAAGACGTATGATTTTATAATCGCACATCTGTTTGCCCAGTCTGCTGTTTGTTTTTATTATCTGCCCATACATTTCTTGCCTTTCTCAACATTCAGGCAATATTTTAGCAGATATAAATAATGTTGGTAATTGTATCTGGCCTAAAACAGGAAGCATTTCATTAAATGGCACATAGAGAGGGAAAAATATGTATTTCTATACAGTCATTGTTCAAACTTTATCTACTATGTCACTTATACCTATATGTAGTTAAATGGATCCTGAGAAATTGATTCCTTCTTATCCCTTAAGCAGAAACTGATTAGTGCCGCAGGCGTAAGGTGCAAGATTAGCAGGAGCTGTGGATCTTGCATTATTGCACTGGACTCCAAACCCAGTTCAGCCTCTCGACCTAATGCACCACCACTGCTGCTTTAATATAGCAGGAGGCTACGGAGCTGAGACAGGCATTTCCTGTGACGAGTCTTCTTTTAGCTTCTTGCTGCTGTGGCGCCTCTTGCAGTGATCGAGCCGTGGGATTTCCAGATTACAGTCACAGCCTCTTCACTCCACACTTCAGTCAGCTTTGTTTGTTTCTTTGCAGTTGTTGGTACTTTAGCGCCACCTCCACCATCTTGTGGCTTGTTCTCGTCTCTTTAAATCCTCCGTTCACAATCCCCTCACTTCTCCCTGTGTGATGGCCGCCTGCTAATCCGTCTCTACCTTCTTTACAAAAGCTGCTGCTCATCTCTTTACCGCTCACTGTTCATCACGTTATGGCTGACTGGTGGCATTTGATATCTCCCATCTCTCTACACTGAAGCAAACATGGGCATTAATGGATGAAAAAATTGAGTAATGAACTGTCCTCATTGAACTCTTTATCAATGGAGATGCCAGAGTGATTAATCCTGTGAATGTACTGGATTGAGCTTTTAGCTGATATTATAGTTGCTGCAGAGGTTAGCTTGGTTTAATTTAAAGCTCTCTTATTTGTCTGAGCATTTTTTTCACAAAACAAAATTCAAAATGAATTTTCAACTTGACACTTGCCTATATTCACTATTGTGGTATCTCACTCGGATTGCAATTTAATGGTCAAAAATCGGATGTTGCAGAAGCAGAAAAGTCCAGCTATGTGGTGATGATTACATGTCTTGAAGTTTTATTTTAACTTATCTCTGAATAACATCAGCTGAATGCTACCCTTGCTTCATATGGGAAGGATCTTGCTACACTTGCACCTAAACAAAAATGTTCCATAAATTGTAAAGTAATCTAATTGCAATTCCAGTATATCATGGTAGCATTATGCTAACTGGTGCATTTCATGCTAGCATTGTACTTAATATTGTATATTGTGCTAAATGAAATGAAGCATGTAGCACCATACTATTTGCTTCATATTATTGTGTCCAATGCATATATTCATGCTAGAACCAGGCTAAATGTTGTGTATTGTGTTAAATGATTTTTGTGATTGATTCATTTTAACAGCATCAAGCTAAGTGCTACATTTAATGCTACAATTATTTTAAAACCTACATTTCATTCCACCATCATATTAAAACCTACATATTATTCCACCATGATGCTAAATGCTACGGTGAATGCTACCATTGGTTCTAATGCTACATTTATGCTAAGATTATGCTAAACGCTACATTTATCACAATAAATGGTACATTTCATGCTTGACGCCGTCTTAATGGTAGATTTATTCTTTTATCCCAGTTAAACCCAGAACTTACTCTACTGTACTTTTACGCTACAAACATTCTAACTGCTACATTCTTGCTAGCATCTGGCTAAATGCTACATTTATGCTAGGATTGTGCTAACAGCCTTGTCTTTTTCCATCTGCCCTCTACAGGTCAGTCAAGGAAATGTCCCTGGCGTGGAAAGTGCTTCCCTGGCCATGGACACAGAGGAAGGCGTTGAGGTGGTGTGGAACGAGGTTCTCTTCTCAGACAAAAAGGTCTTCAAAGCACAGGAGGTACCGTAACACACTCCAGGTTCTGATGCACACTAATTTCTCATATTTATTGTCATTCAGTAGCTCAAAAACCCATCAGTTGAAAAAATTAGTAACCAGTTATGAAATTAATTTATGTTCCTTTTTACACATCTTTTTACCAACATTTTTAGCTTTTAGCTGTTGCTAGCATGAACAGAGAACTAGAAAATAATCTTAGCTGAGTTTTCTATATTTATGAAGGCTAGGAATCACGTTTTATGATTTATGTCCAGCTCACTTTTTTGTTGATACTCATTAATGTAACTAAATGATCCGACTACAACAGTAACAGTCGCCCCCTGCTGGTCATTATAGATAATGAACTGTCATGCTGGCTTTGCTTAGCAGACTCCAAAGCTGCTATGATTTAACTTTTATGTTCATTTAAAGCAATTTCTTTTTGTAATATGAGAAGACAGTGCAACAAGCACCTTCACAACATGTATAAATACACAAATTATGTTATTTTTAAAGTTCCTTATATATATATTTTTTTTTACTTATTCAGGAAAAAATCAAAGAGATGTTTGAGAACTTGATGCAGGTCGAACACCCCAACATTGTTAAGTTCCACAAGTACTGGCTGGACATGAAGGAGACCCAGGCTCGGGTGAGAAGTGTATTGCTTTTCTTACTTTTGTCACTACCTTTTATTAAACACAGTATTTTCAGCTAATGTGTTTTGTCCTTTCCAGGTCATTTTTATCACTGAATACATGTCTTCAGGGAGCCTCAAGCAGTTCCTGAAGAAGACAAAAAAGAACCACAAGACCATGAATGTGAAGGTCAGGATTGTCACTCTTGGTCACGTATTCAGTCGTAGACTTGAGGTGATTTAAGGAACTGCAGATCCATATTTCCTAAAGGATGGCTCATTATTTTACACTGTTTTGGCTTATTTTTCTGGGTATTATTATGACTTAGCAATTTATCCAGGAACTATTTCTTCTTCTTTGTCTAACTGAATGCCCCTCAAGCTTTCTTTATTATATAATAGACCTTCTTATTTTTTTATGTAGCAAATTCAAATCTGAAATGAATGTTTTTCTTTTTCTTTTTCTTTCAGGCCTGGAAGAGATGGTGTACCCAGATCCTGTCAGCACTCAAGTACTGACAAATTTTCAGTAAAGAACATTAATATGATGGATGTTTGTTTGAACTCCTTTTCCATTAATGTATGTTTTCTGTCAGCTATCTGCACTCCTGTGACCCACCGATAATCCACGGCAACCTAACCTGTGACACAATCTTCATCCAGCACAACGGGCTCATCAAGATTGGCTCAGGTCTGCTCCCAGCTGGGCTTCTTCTAATACTGCAACCAGATTATTTCACTTTGGAAGCACAATAAACACGCTTGACTTTTATTTCCACAGTGTGGCACCGGCTGTTTGTTAATGGTAAGGTGTGCAGGTGTTTTAATAGTTAATAGTCCGTCGGTATGTCATCTAAACACTGACAGGATTTTTCTATCAGTGTTCCCAGACGCCAGTGTCCACAGCAAAGGAAGGCAACACCGGGATGAGCAGAGGAATCTCCATTTTTTTGCTCCTGAATATGGAGGTGAGTCTGCTGAGTGATCCTTGTTTTTACATTTCAATGGTTTGATTTCTCTCAAATTTTCTCAGTTTATCAATATTTTTTTTTCTTTGTAACATCGTTTTACTGTTAAAATTGGCAACATCTCATGGTTGCCAATTTTGTTTTTGTTTTTTTTTGGAAGTTGTCTGTGTTTTCTCAACTGAATTAGAACTGTTTTGCAAAAACTTACATCCATCTGTCTCAATCAGGTCAGGTTTATATTCTAATTTAATTTAGAGAAATCCGATCTTCTGACTAAATTGATTACATTTTTGTGACAGTATCAGTTCATTTCCATTAATATTTCTCATCCAAAAAGGCTTTAGGTGAAAAAAATTTTTCTGACAGAGTGTATTAATTAAATGTCACAAACTTGGATTATCGGTAATAAACACCGATAAGGGCACGTACATGTAAATTGAACATTACGTCTTCTTTGTGCAAAACTCTCCATCTCTTTCTGTCCTGATGGAGTCTCTCCACCTGCTCATCACTCGTTGATCCCAGATTCTCAGGAAATCGATCCGTATTCAAAAACAAGTCATGCATTTTGATGCTCATGTTGCATTTATAATTCAGAAAGTTGACCTGAAACTACCCTAAAACAGTTGAAAAAAAACCCCAGACAAAATTTTGACTGTTGACCAGTGTTATTGAGAAAATGATATTTTATGACATGCAGATTGATAAAAATACAACTGTGTTCTTGGTACATAACATTTTCTTCTGTTTTAATTCTATATTTAAATCTTTCAGCTGGTGAGGATGACTACTCCATAGACATTTTCTCCTTTGGCATCTGCGCCCTAGAGGTGAGACTTAAAAACTGACTTGCTTGATGTTTATCTCTCTCTGTTTTAACTTCTTTTTTTTCTCTTGCCACTAGATGGCAGTACTGGAAATTCAAGCCAATGGAGATTCTGCTGTATCCAAGGAGGCCATTGTGAATGCAGGTCAATCTTTGGAAGACCCTCTCATGAGAGTGAGTTTCAATGCAAGGCCTAAGTATACAGCATGAGTGCAAGGGAGCAAGGATAAAAAAGGCACAATAACATAGCATGCCCAGTCATGCAGTGGGTATCAGATGGACACTGTCCTATTAAAATTATGAGACAAAGCAACCAGATCATAATAAGTAATTTTCTATTTATTCAATGGAGGGAAAAATCAATTTTGGGTAAAAATGCAAAATATAAAAACCTCTAACCAACTGGTGAAATTGAATCAAAAGTTGGTTCAGCAACGTATTGCCACGCTGAAGCAATTTTGTGTTGTACAAAACACCACAAAGATACTTTTTTAAAATTGTTACATTAATTTCTTATTTTCATGTTGAATTAACAACCGATGGAAAAAAAATTAAATAATTTATCACGCCATCATATTTTTTTATTTTATCACAAAAGCCTTGCATCAAAACGTAGCCTTTTACTATGAAAACCCAAAGAAAAAATAAAAAGGAAGTCAGAATTACATTTATTATTGTGAAAATAAAGGTACTAGTTAAGAGATTTGGTATCATAATTTTAACTTTTAAAGTCATTCAAATTCAAAAATACTTTATTAAAGTCATAATTATCAGTTATAAAGTCATAATCCCAACTTCCAAAGTCTTAATAATTAGATTCAAAGTCATAATTATAAGATACAAAGTCTTAATTATGAGATATAAAGTCATAATTTTGACTTTCAAAGTCATAAATTCAAATTCAAAAATACTTTATTAATCCAAAGGGAAATTACATGTTGTCATAACTCATCAACTTAGATAATTATGAGGAAGTAATGCCGTTTCCCTAAGGAGGCTTATCTCATAATCATGACTTTGTAACTCATAATTATGACTTTGAAAGTTAAATTATGACTTCCTGTTTGGCTTGTATTTTTTCTTTCATGGTTTTCATATTTTATTGTACATGCAATATAAGAGTTACATTTCAATAAGCGCTTAGCAACTTTGGGCTATAAATTTCAGCTGTGTGGACTGACTGTCTTCTGGCTCTCTGCAGGAGTTCACGCAGTCGTGTTTGCGTCATGATGCCAACCTCCGTCCCACAGCTCACGACCTTCTGTTCCACAGAGTCCTGTTCGAAGTCCACTCCCTCAAACTGCTCGCCGCCCACTGCCTCATCAACAACCAGTGTGAGTTTTATCACCTCCGTATGCCAATCTGCCAAAACATCCATCTGCTCTTTTTAATGTTGATCCAGACAGAGCAAGGCCTGAAGGTCATGAGTTTTTTTTTTTTTTTTTTTTTTTCCTTACCTGCAGATTTGCTTCCTGAGAACTGTGTGGAGGAGAAAACAAAGTCGTTTGACCCCAACGCTGTCATGGCAGAGATTAGACATGATGACAGACCCGGAGTTCAGCTCAAGTACAAATAAAAAGCTTCTTGTATTTTTAGCTATTCTTGAACGTCATCTGACAGGTGATGCCGAACACTCACCACGCTTCTCCTCTGTCTCTTCAAGGTATTCCCATGTTTCCCCTTTAGAGCTTGACAAGTTTCTGGAGGATGTCAAGTAAGTGGAGAGTTTAGTCTAAGATCTGTTTTGCATCAGCTGTTGCATCTGTTATTTCAGCGTGACATCATTTCCTCTCAACAGGAATGGGATTTACCCCTTGATGAACTTCGCCACGTCCCGGCCTCACCCCGTCCCTCGAGCTCTGTCCTTGTCTCAGGAGCAGGTTGAGACGGTGAAGACACCGACTCCTGAACCCCAGGAGACAGAAACGAGAAAGGTTAGACTTCCAAATTTCACCACAATCCCCATTTAAACCTGATCCACAGCTTTTCAAACATCTTCAGATTGCGGCATATTTGGAAAATCTAATTAATGTGTGAAGGCAATTATGACATCACCCTAGTCTTAGTACCTCCACATCTACACTGGAGTATTTGCCCACAATCTACCATATTTTTCTATAAAAACTGAAGATTTTTGCACCTCCACCATCAGTGTCAGACACTATCAGGACTTAATAAAGTATGCAGATGAGGGGGCTTCAAAGTGCTGAACATAAAAACACATTATTTTGCTGCACAGTTTTAACCTGTACAGAGCTTTTCACACATATCCCAGACAGAATAAATCATTCACGCAGTTTGTTTTGCAGAAGTAAATATTGAAAAAAACCTGCTGCTCTTGCTTTTTCTACATCCTCCTTGTTGCTAAATCCAATGCCAGACAATTTTATTTCATCTGCGTTTGAATTGCAGTCTTAGAAACTGAAAGCTACCTCTTATCTCCCAGCAACCTACTTTGTACGCACAATTTGGAGGTGTGTGTGCTCCTCTCGCCCCAGCTGGCATGATCGTGGCATTGTATTTATTGGTGCAGAAATTATTGATTTTTCATTTTAGCCAATTAGTGAGATTTCTTAATGTTGGAGCCAGAGCAGTGGCGTATCACCAAGCTTCATTCACCACACAATATGCTAAGAAATCACCATATTTTCGTGATAGAGCTTCAAAAAATGTTATGAGACTGTTCATATCAGTTATTATCACCCAAAACACATCAACACTTTGTGAAATGTGTGTTGCTTTTGCAGGTTATTCAGATGCACTGTAATTTGGAATCAAATGAAGAAGGGACCAAAACTCATGTGAGTCACACAGTACTACAGGTACTTTGCCCATTCTGTGCATCTCAGTTGAGCTCCTTCATGATGAAACATACTGGGCTACACTTTTTTCTCTCAAATGGGTTAATCTGAGCTTCTCGGTTTAATATAGATGATCTTTTTCTCAGCTCTCATTGTTTCTGAAGATGGACGACAAACTTCATCGGCAACTAAGCTGTGACATCTTTCCAAGTACGTTTAAAAGTGTTTTTATATTAGACACCACATCAGACTATGAAACCGTCAGACTCATTGGATTTAAAGTGTGAGAAATTATTGAAGACTTATTTACAGAACTGTACACAGTTTGGGTTATCATTTTTTCTGAAATATTACCTGTGAAACTTTCAGCGGACACTCCAAAAGACCTCGCTAGTGAACTCGTCCACTACGCCTTCATAAATGAGGTACATGGGAAGTTTTCATTGCATTTGTTTTATATCTACATGCATGTTACTTTAGATTGCAGTGAAAAAATGGTTAAATCCATACAGATTTGTTCTGTTTTTGTTTTTTTGTTTTGTTTTTTTCTTGTCACTCTCAAATGTTTTAGCTCATCAAACTAATTTCCAGACAAATATAAGCTGAGTAAAAATATACAAAGCTGTTTTCAAATTATAAGTTCAGTTATTAGGGAAAATCTATGCCAACCAACCTGGACCTCTGTGGAAAAACCATCATGCTCTGGTGTTAACTTTCAATTAGCCTTCATCAATGTTCATAAATGTTGACCCACTTTTCTTTACAGAAATGTTTGAATTTAGCCACAATGCATAAGAGTTTTTTTAAGGTTCTGCCTTTAACTAGGGGTTTGATTTTTGACATGTAAAATTATTTTGATGATCTTTAAAATTCACATTTTGCATGTTTTTATACTTTCATTTTGGTCTCAACTGCTTCTTAAAACCCACCCAGACATTTTTTGGTAATAAGTTAATACTTTTTTGGTGTCTGAAAAATCAGCAATTTTGAAAACTTCCAAGTTGTTGAGTCACAATTTGTGGGCAGTGCACAGTTACCTAGCAACCCCAACTGAGCTGCAGCATGTTTGGTCAGGTGGTTCAAGCGTTCTACAATGGCTGCTGGAAGAGACAAGTTTTGTGGTTGACTTACCATACAGAAACCACTTGCTGCATTCTTGTTGGTTGCGCAGGAGGCTCTGCTTCTACTTTTCAAAGATACATGGTTGTACAATTGTGCATTTGTTAGCAGACATTTCTACCTACAAGTGTAAGTGCTGAGTTGGGGGCGTGGCCAGCAGCAGCTTATTTGGATTTAAAGTGACAGGAGGTCCTAAAACAGCTCTTTCATAAAGGTGCTTAAAATAGGCAGACTGAATTATTATTATGTAAGAATGATTTTGTTCAAAATGTAATGTATCCTAATCTGTTCAAGGAAGCAAAATAGGTCAACGTAAACACATCAGGTTGTTTGTTTTTTGTTTGAGAAGTTGGTTTAACTGATTAAAGACTCATATTCACGTATGTTTACCTGCAGGAGGACAGTGAGAAGGTAGCTGCATTCCTGGAGGACTCCATCAGTCGACACCGGGTCCGCGCGCTGGCTGCTGGGAGCAACCAGTGACAGCGGTGTCGCGACAGCAGCTGGGACTGATGAAGGAGGTTCCCCCTCTAGGGGACGTTGAGCACACGGGTGGAGAAAGAGAGGGAAGCAGACAGACAGCTGTGGAAGACATTGTCCAGGACGCTAAACGGGACAGAGGGTGAACGCTGAAACGCTTTGAAAGTCAGTAAATTATCCCAATTAGTTGGAAGGAAAACGACAGCAGCGAGAGTGAAACCGAAGGTGTTTCTGGTTGGAGGACTGGAAACGCCTCGTAGCGAAGTCCACCTTCCCCACAGAGCAGTGGCTGATCCACAGAGTCCCTGCCTAAAAGGGCTACCATGCCTTACACATTCAGTTTTCCGTAATGTGACGTTTGAGAAAGACATTGTACTGTTCCAAGCCTCCTTTTGCACTCCAGTGCCCATTTTTATTGACTCACAAACAGAAACAAGTGATTTCCTAAAGCCTCCGTCCCTCTCAAGCCTTCAGCCATCACAGTTTTCAGGAATTTTATATTCCACCCATCATGCACTGTTAATACTCATCCAGTTATTTATTTCTACCCCGTAACTGTGAACCGTAGAAACATTGCACAGCTTCTTTTTCCTTACTTGATTTTACCTCCCTTCCTTGCACTCTTTGCGTTAAAGGCCAGTTCTCCCACAGCTTAACATGCCTCGTCATATTGCATGCAGATGTCAAGCTATGAGAGGACGCCTTTTTTTAGTGTTTTCTTAAAGGTTTTCCCTGTGAACGTGTTCTGGAAGCCAAAGACCTGCAAAGTGCCTGATGTGGCAATTAAATGGCATCATACCCAACTTTGCAAATTTGGGGGAAAATAATCATTCATGGTTGGTCTGTTTCTTCTAAACAAGTTTATATCTCTTTATTTGGAATTTATGAAGTCAACTTGTCTGAAAATGAAAAGAAATTTGGTACCTGAGGTTATTATTGGACAGGATCATTTTGCTCTTAGCTGCAGCAAGTTTTGTGTTACAGGAGTGTTGGGTGTAAACATTTACAAGAAAAAGTTGCCATATTGTTGATCAGTTTCTCTGCTCTATAGACATTTTATTACAATTGTTTTGTAAATATATTTGAGATCATTGAAAGGCAAATTCTACCCACTTCTTAGAAATTGAACTAAGTTTTATTTACTATATTTGTGCTTTATAATCTGTGGTGTTTTGAGTAAGAATGTAGCTAATTGCAATAAGATAATATAATCATGGCTCTCTGAACTCAAGCTGATTTGTTTTTGTTTTGTTTGTTTTTTTAAACTCGAGCGGGTTTACAAAAAAGTCTGCTAGGATTTATTTCTGATAACTTTAAGGTTCCTTCAGAGTCAGATTGAAGTTCTTTCCAGGCCTTTCCTTCTTTCTTTCCTTCCTTCCATCCTTGCTTTTTTCCTTCCCTCCATTCTTCCTTCATTCCAAGCAACTCTCCATCTGTCCTTTCTTCCTTCTCTGCATCCATCCATCCATCCATCCATCCATCCATCCATCCATCCATCCATCCATCTTTATTGCCTCACCACTGGCGAAAACTCCAACACATCTAAAGTTACTTTGACTCGGCTTCAAAATGAGTCTAAAACTGATTGATAATTATTTTTTTTGGAAAATAAAGAAACAAAATGTAGGAACCCTGAAATAAAACTTCCACCAACCCAAACATCAACATTCAACCTACATCTGCATAAGTATTGAAGTTCAGGCTGCAGGTTTAGACATCCAAGTACAATGTTTCAGTGGATTTTTTTTTTCTAGATTATCAATATTTACCAGATTCACTTGAATTTGCTCCATTGTTTTACATGTGCGCAGGGTGTAGGGAGATTATAAGCTTGCAGATTCATAACAATTATGCTGCTGTACAGTCATTGCTAACAGTACTTACTATGGTCTAATTATATCAGTGTTTCTGTAAAGACAGGAGCCCTGAATTCTCCCAGACAGTTGGATTGTACATACTTGGTTGTGGCTATGTAAGGGGAGTTGCATTAAACAACCTCTTAATTAAACACAACACAATGCAGTGCCAGTGTGGCTCTCCTTTGTTCTAGTAAACTGCATGTCTTAATAACTTGCAACCATTCGAAACTTTGCATTTTGCCTTTTTTTTTTTTGTCCGTCACAATTGAGTTCCAGAGGAGAGCTGACTAAGTAAATGAATGTTCAGACTGTATGAGAATATAAAAAAGACATGCATATCAGTCTTATTTTATGTCAGATGACTTTTTTCTCTGTGGCTCTGTTGAATGGAAATTGCCTTTGGATGTGTTAAACCTTTGTTGAATATTGTAGCATCTATGAATAAAATATTTTAAAAAAAAAAGATTGTGAAGTGTTTATTTTGTGTGTTTGTGTTTTAGAGGTGGATCCCCTTTTTTTGGTTCAGGGGTTACTGCATGTTTAGCAGTACGATCAGAATTAGTCTTGAATTGATAAGTGCAGTTACCAAAATAAATGTAAGTCAATACAGTTATTCTAGGGCTAGGAATACTCACTTATGAAATGACAGTTTGAGGTATATCAATGTAAATAATTATAAACGTTGATTTATTTCATAAATTTAATTCTGAAAATTTAACTCATAGATTCATTACATACTAGTGATGTAGTTCAAGCCTTTATTTCTGTTAATTTTGATCGTTATAAACCTTAAATTTAGTTTCCTAGAAAAGTAGGACGTGACCATGTAAAAACAGGATTTCACAGAAATGTTTAGCCTACACAATTATGCTACCTTAACAGTTAACCAGCAATGTTCATTTAAACACTACAATTAGGGTAAACCACAATAGGTCATTGCTAAACCAGCTGACTGTTCAAACGTGCTATATTCATCCACACTGGATGGAAAGTTTAATGATAGGAAAACAAAATATTTTTTTGTCTGGTATTCCTGTCTTGGCCCTTTACTCTTATTTTTTTTATTTTTTTTTACTTGTACCATTCAAGCAAAAAAAAAAAAAAGAAGTAGAAAAAATCACTACCTCAACAAAAATGGAATAATAATAAAAAAGAAAACAACTGGAAACAAATTATAGTGGATACAATAACAAAATACTGTAATGATTTGATTTAAAAAAAACAACAAACAAACAAGAAAAGCTAATGATTTGAGATTTTTCTTTACCTCAGAGGCAAAATTGAGAAGTCCCACTAAAACTAGACCATAAGCGAATGTTCAAATTGAAATTATTTAAAAATAGCTACAAACAGTAGCTGCTCTGAAGGTGACCACCTTTGTAACAAGTGTGTTGAAGCCGATGAGGTAAACCATATCAATGGCCTTGAATCAGAAACTCACTGTAACTCTGCATGACAATAAGACAAAGTAACAAGTCGATAATTGTAACTTCATTTATATCAAAAATATAGCTGTGTAATTTTATTGATTCTACAATATTTATATTTTTTTCCTCAAAGTATTGTTTTTACATCTGTGAGTATTGATACATTAAATCCTGCTTTGAGTTTTATGTCAAATCCACATGAATTAAATAACATGGCATTTTTTACCCAGTTGCACATGTGCATTAAAAATGACATGTAATGAAACAACCAGCTATAATTTATTAAATAATGAAATGGATAAATTACATTATCTAATATAAGCAAATAAGAAAAAAAGGTTCATTTTCTGAATAACCAAATACACAAAGCCACACAATTAACATTTAAACAAAGCAAAGAAGAGTGGTTCATCAACAGCAATAAAGCCAAATGGAAAACAAATACTTTTAGATGGTAATAATAGAGACAGAATATAACATACACGTATGCAGCAATTCAGTTTCTCAAGTATTTCAGCTACATAAGGCAATTTTTTCCACTAACTTTCTACTATCACACTTGAATATATCACTCTGTGAACAGCCCAATTCTTTAGCAATAATATTTTGTAAATTTCTCTCCTGGTCGACAGTGTTAATGACTGTATTTGTGACTGTAGAGCAGACAGATGCTCAAGATTGTGACAAATTACATCCAGTTACCTTTAGTCTTCTCATTCTCTTGATTGAAGCCAAATTAATGAGATCAACCTCTTAGTCTAAAGTGCCCAAGTCTATAGATAGCCTTCATTCAAAACTAAATAAGTTCTGTTCTTAATAAATAATCAACAAATAACTAAACCATAAAATAAAACAAAATAAATATAAAGAAATAGACAAAAAAGATTCCTTTTCAAAAATATATTTTTTTGTATTTAATTAAGACTTTTTTCTTATTTGATGGCGAATTTATTAATCATCCGTTAATAACAGTATTTATTTAAATGAAGATGAAATACAAGATCAGTTCTCGACTGCTACCGTTCTCCCATTCTGCGGACTCGGCCAACGCTGGTCTAAAACCGTCAAGTATTGTGTGGATGTATTTTCTCGCGATATCTCGCAGTGAAATTCTCGCGACCTTTGAGGAGTGTGGCCCTCTCTTGAAGGTGTGCTTCATGGCGGTTACGAACACTGCGGTAAATATATTTTGCGATTAAAAAACAAACTTGTTACGTTTCTTTTATTACAATTGTTTATTGCGTAGTTAAAGCGCGGTGTTTTTCTTGTAATTATATCTGTACCTATTAATTTATATTTGTACTGGAGGAACAAAAAGCACCAGCTCGGTTTACGCGCCACAGCAATGAATGGCTAACGTGAGCTAATGTTAGGTCTGCTGCTAGCAACAAAGACATCGACAGCTGAATACAAATCAGGCCTTGCTATTCATTGTTCTGTTTCTTTAAACTCGGTTTAATGATAACTGTAAAGCTACACAGCGGGGTTATGATATAGTTATGTATCTCAATAGTCTTTACACGAAATAAAAGTGTACCCGTAGCCTGCTACAGCTAATCTGCTATTCTAACGTTAGGATGAAAATCACGTTTAGTGCTCCTGCGCATCAACTGCACTGTTAGAAATCCAAACAATACGGGAGAGCTGTATGTGAATCAGGCTGTAAATTTATGAGAGCTGCCTGTTTTAATCATAGTCTGAAGGCATCTTTTATCTCCCCCCATAGAAATTGTTGAATTGTTAAAGCTTCCCCGTCAGTCCTCTTCCCCTTGGGGGCTTTCCTGTCTCAGTCTGGTGGACCCAGCGGTTAGAGTGTTGCGTAAGTAAGGAGTTTATCCAGGCCCACCTGGTTTAAATCCGGGTGTAGGTCCTCAATATTTTTGCTGTTATTGATTAAAAAAAATAAATAAAATGGTAAAATTTATTGTTTGTTGGGCAATTTTAACTTGTAGTTATGCACTAGGAATAAGCCAGTTAAATAAGTGTACGCGTTTTTTTTTTTTTTTTTTTTTTAATTTTTCCATTTTAAAATTGCAGGGAGGTGAAGCTCTGACGATGGAGAATGGACAAGGCACAGGCTCCAAGCTTGGCCTACCGCCTCTTACCCCAGAGCAGCAGGAGGCACTGCAGAGGGTGAGAGTCTCCTCCTGTCCATGTCATCCGGCATCCCGCACTATGAACGCCTTACATTACATCAAACATTTCATCTATTAATTCTTTATCTATTAAAAAAGGCTGCAAATACATGTACATTTTGTTTCTTTATTCACATTTTCTTTCACCTAAGTGAT